ATTTTATCTTCGGGAGAGATTGGCTACGGACGGTTAGTACTCAGTTCGATTGGGCTCAGGGAAGCTGCAGCGTCAAGGTAGACGGGGAGTTCCGGGAGCTGCCACAGTGGAGTGATGGGGCCACATCATCTACAGCTATCATCAATGCTGTTCGTGTGCGACAGTTAGTGAAGCGTGCGGCACGGATCTTCGCGGTTTTTCTTGAGGAGGTGGAAGCTGAGGAGGGGAAAGGAGGGAGTGCAGCAGTTAGTGAGAAGGCGACTCTTCCTGCTGAGGTGAGTGCACTGTTAGCAGAGTTCGCAGACGTCTTCCCCGACGAGTTTGCCCCCAGGGTTGCCTCCCAGCCGAGCAGTAGACCATCGAATAGAATTGGAGCCGGGGAGCAGGCCAGTAGCGAAGCCGCAGTGGAGGTTGAGTCCAGCGGAGACATAGGAGATGACGCAGCAAGTTAGGCACTTTCTCGCACAGGGTTTCATACAGCCATCTAGATCGCCTTGGGCCGCACCGATACTTTTCGCACCCAAGAAAGACGGAGGGTTACGGATGTGCATAGATTACCGCGCACTGAACGCCGCCACCGTCAAGAATAGATTCCCGGTGCCGAGAGTAGAGGATCTTCTCGATGCAGTGCAGGGCGCTAGAGTCTTCTCAAAGATCGACCTTCGTTCGGGTTACCACCAGATTCGAGTAGTTCCAGAGGACCAGCACAAGACGGCGTTTCGTACGAAGCAGGGGTTGTACGAGTTTAGGGTTCTACCGTTCGGATTGACCAACGCCCCAGCGACGTTTTAGACGCTCATGAACACAGTCCTCTCCGAGTTCCTAGGGTCGTTCGTTGTCGTTTACCTGGACGACATCCTAGTGTTCTCTAATACGGAAGATGAGCACGTGCAGCACTTGCAGAAGGTCTTCGAGGTCTTACGGAGGGAGCAGTTATACGCTAAGCAGTCGAAGTGCGAGTTCTTCCTTCCAGAGGTCGAGTTCCTAGGACACGTCGTATCCGCTAGTGGCATTAGGACTGACCCGAAGAAGATCGCAGCAGTATAGGATTGGGTAGCACCGACCTCAGTCAAGGAGTTGCAGAGCTTCCTCGGTTTCGCGAACTACTACCGTCGTTTCGTTCAGGGTTACGCATCGATCGCTAGTCCACTCACCGACCTACTTCGGAAGGGCGTAGAGTACGTTTGGGGTCCAGCGCAGCAGCAGGCGTTCGAGCAGATGAAGCAGTCACTCACGTCCTCACCGACACTATCGTACCCTGATCCCACTCGCCCATACGTTGTAGTGACCGACGCTTCCGATCAGGCCATAGGAGCATTGCTTCTTCAGGACCAGGGACGCGGGTTGCAGCCGATCGCGTACGAGTCGCGTAAGCTTAGGGGAGCGGAGTTGAACTATCCCATACACGACAAGGAGGCGCTCGCGATCATCCATGCGTATAAGGTGTGGAGGTGCTACCTAGAGGGGGCAGATAGTGTTATACGCACGGACCACTGTTCGCTTCATTTCCTCAAGTCGCAGCCGCAGCTGAGTCGTCGCCAGGCTAGGTGGATGGAGTTCATGGAAGGGAGCTTTCACTACAGGATAGAGTACAAGCCAGGCGTGCGCAACCCAGCAGATCCGCTCACTCGCCCTAGTTGTCAGCTCGCCAGTCTCACAATCACTGCTGGCCACCCACTTCTCACAGCACTCTTCGAGCACGGTTACACAGTAGATCCCGACTTCACACCGCAGCCGCCCGCAGGAGCAGAGGTGCAGGGTAGTGTCTACATACGGAAGGGTACCACACGGATTTGGGTTCCAGCCTACCGCCCTCTTCGACAGCTCCTTCTCTCAGAGGCGCACGACGTAGTTAGTGCAGGGCACTTCGGAGCAGATAAGACGGCTAAGACGCTTAGTCGCACGTACTACTGGCCCGGGCTTGCAGGAGACGTAGAGGATTACATTCGCTCGTGCGACACGTGTCAGCGTACGAAGTCCTCTCGCCAGCGCAAAGCAGGACTCTTGCAGCCGATTCCACCGCCCGACCGCCCTTGGCAGGTAGTTACCATGGACTTCATCATGGCTTTACCGCGCACAGTTAGGGGTCACGACGCCATCTTCGTAGTAGTGGATAAGTTTTCTCGAGCAGCGCATTTCATCCCCACGCACGGCAAGGTCACAGCAGAGGAAGCCGCGACGCTGTTCGTAGATAACGTAGTCCGACTGCACGGGGTTCCAGATTCCATCATCTCAGACCGCGACCCTCGTTTCACTTCGAAGTTCTGGAAGCAGCTTTTCGCACTGTTTGGGACTCGCTTAGCCATGTCGTCTGCGTACCACCCAGAGACAGACGGACAGACCGAGCGTGTGAACCAGACCTTGGAGCAGATCCTTCGCAGCATCACGATGCACGACGCAGCCGCATGGGACAAGAAGCTGAGCATGGCAGAGTTCGCCTACAACAACACGCACCACTCCGCCACAGGCATGTCACCGTTCTTTGCACTTTACGGTCAGCACCCCAATGTCCCCACTCGTGTCGATCTCACACCCACAGTCCCTCGTGCGGACAACTTCCACCAGCATCTCACCTTCATTCATGATCACGTGAGGAAGCACCTTGAGCTCGCAAATGCACGCATGGCACGCACCACCAACCGCAGTCGTCGTGAGGTGTCGTTCGCAGTCGGCGACCGTGTTCTCTTGGATAGCCGCAACCTCCGACTGCCACAGGACAGCAAGCTTCGTCCACGTTTCATTGGTCCATTCGTCATTGAGCGCGCACTAGATCCAGTCGCATACCGCCTTCGCCTTCCCGCACATTTCCGCATGCACCCGTCGTTCCACGTGTCTCTCCTTCGCCCATACACCGATCCCAATGCCACCTTCTCGGGCCGTGATCGCACTCCCTTGCCGGTAGCTGTTGACACCGACGAGCCCGACTACCAGATCCAGCGCATCCTCAGGCACCGTCGCCGTCTCCAGGGGGGTGTCACTTTCATCGACTTCTTGGTTCGTTGGCGTGGTTACGACGCAGCAGACGACAGCTGGGTTCCTTCGTCCTCGCTGTCTCCTGACAACGCTTGCCTCCAAGCGTACCTTCAGTTTGCAGGCGCCGCGGACGTCGCCTCCTTGGGCGGGGGGTAGTGTTAGAGGGGTGTTTACTGTTCATTCCGAACAGTACATTCCTAGTCACCATTATCCTTATCTTCTCAGATTCTCTAGTGCCACGTGGCACTCTACTTTTCTTGCACTCCAATTCTTGGTCCCACATTCCACTTTCCAACCTTGTTTCTTGCATGCTATATAAACCTTGCTTGTACTTGCCATTATCAATCAATTCTCATTCAACTCTTCTTCAATTACTCAGTAACTTCTTCGCCTATTTCGCCAATAGTTCTTTCGCCAAAGTCTTCCGCCGCGTTTCATCCTCGACTTAGTCGACCCCGCTAATTCTTTAGCGGACTTAGGCCGTCGGGCCTAACAGATTGAATGTAAGTCCTCTCCTAGCGCCACATACCAAACCATGAACTCACAGAAGCAAGCAGAAACCGAGCCGCACTGGCAACTCCTTCACCAGAATACAGCGAGCCCCCCTTCGCCAAGCACATCAGAAAGAATAACCCCTCTGCATTGCAGTAGTGTGAAGAGCCGACGTCGCTCGCGACCAGTAGTCAGTCGCTATGGAGCATCCATTCCGGAGTATGTTGAGGAGATCCAGTTCTGCTAGTGTCCTACCATCCGACGAGTGTGAGCTGGAAGCTTCGGGAAAACAAGTATGGTCCCAGATCGATCCTACAACGCTTTCCTGAGTAAACAAACAAACTTCTGAGGGGTTCGCCGAATTCACTTGGTCCTTGTGCAGGTTCTCAAAAGCGCTTCCCGTCAGCCTGAACCATGGTCTTTTTTCGGTCTCGATAGAGACCAGGTATAGTATACCACTCCTCTTCCGCTATTTACTCTCTGGATTTTATCCTCTCTTTTTTTGTCATTCAACGAAGCATTCCGTGTTTCAGGTTTTCCACTCCGCATTTGGATGTTTTATGCATCGAAAAGTACTCGTCCAGGTACATGATAGCAGATTCATGCATATCTAGTGACTTTGTCTTCCAACGAACTTCTGGCTTCCAGGGTCGCCTTTATCTCTTTGAAACTGAAGCTTGCTTTCGTGGACACTATCTCAATGGCATTATCACGGTATACTCACAAATTCGTGGCTTTCATACATCGCTTCAGCTAACGTTGTCTTTTGTTCTAGATTTCGTTGAACTTCCGGGACATGACAGTGGTCCGCAAAGCCAAAATTGCTGGAGTTGTCGGCGGCATTGAATGTCATATGGCGAATGAGAAGAAGGTACCTCTTTTGTTGCCGTTTGTTAACAATGGTCCTTGTTTCTGACGATTGGTGGCTCTTTCCAGTATACATTCATATGTTTGCAGCACAAAGAACGTGCCTTGAAGCTGCTCCTTGAGTTATGGAACAAGTCCAGGGACTCAGTAAGACTGGCTTGATTCTAGTCCAGTGTAGGTGTCTCGGTAGCTTGCCGAGGTGTTCCTGTAACATGCAAAACTGATTGCACAGGTCGTCCAGGAGAAAGGACTCTATGGCGCTGACAAGATGACCCGCAGTGAGAGTCTATCAGATCTGTCAGTGTCCTACTTCTCGTCATCTTTATTATCTAAGCCAGTGCGCCCTTTCTTACACCACTTAAGAAATGCAGCATTCCAGGACACGTAAACTTTGTGCCAGAGGGTGCCAGGAGGTCCAGATGTAGATCGCTCTCAGTATCTGACATGACCATGAGCTCTGGATACATGGACCAGTCTTTCAACTGCTTGTCCACGGAGCAGCAGGGTGCAGGTGCACATGATAACCAGGAAGAATTGTACTGCAATGATGCTAGTTTCGCTTCTGCATCCGGATCCAAGCTTCATTTTATTGGTGCAAAGAAAATCCAGGTTTGTCAATGCATTTGTTTACCATCTCATTTTTCACTCCTTGTTCAACAATTTGACAGTAAGTTTCATCAGGCAACCGTGGAAAACGTGTTTCACTCCTTGTTCTCGGACAACGCAATCTCCTTTCTGGAGCGTTTTCACACCTCGCAAGGAGACAAGAGTATGTATTTCGTTTCCTTAGGCAAGTTTCCTGTCCGTGTTTGCTTAATGCCATGGACTTTTGTTTAGCAGGTTTTTATTGCTCGAGATGGTCTATGGAAGAAGGCTCTACCACCAGGACTCGGTGCATGTCATTCGAACACCCAATTGACTATTTTTTTGGACCGAAGTCGACAAATTGTGAGGTCGTTCAGCATCTTCAGCAGGAAGGCGATGGCAGTTTCAGTATTGTTGCATTGCAGTGCATGCCAAAGCTTCCATTAGGAGACTACTTCTCAGTTAAGGTAATCAGCTATTGTCCCTTGATTTCCAGTATCACATTTTGATCACGTTACCTTTCAGATGCTGTGGGAAGTTCAGGCCTGCGATCACGGTGCATCATCCCTGGTCAAGCTGTCTCAGTTAACATTATTTTCGAAAAAGACAGTGCTTAGACCTGCAATCGAGCAAGGAGCAATTCAAGCAAGCATTCAGTCATTCGCGCTCTGGTCTGAAAAGGTATGCTTTTGCTTCTGCCCCACCTGACAGGGTTGAATATTATCTCTGACGACCCCTGTGCAATCTTGGCTGGCAGGCGATCCTTGAGGTGGAGGTGCAGAAAATGATCAAGGTTTCTTATGCATCTCACGTTGTTGAGGCACACACGTTTGTGGATTGTGCGAAGGCTATGATGGGTGTGCATCTTGCTGGTTGATTTGTTTTTGTGTGTGTGTGTCTCCTCCTGACACTGGTTGTTCGTTTCAGACAAAGAAGGACTGCCTGCCAGGCTTCGCCAAGAACTTGCCTACATACTTCAATACACGGCTGATCAGTGCCTAGCAGACGGAGCAACTGGCGGTGCTTCTTCGACCCATTGGAGCCCAATTCAAAGTGCCAAGGGTTTTCTTAACGCACACAGGTTGAACACTTGCCTGATTATTTTTTCCGCCATACTAATGTGGTTGGCACTTTGGATCTAGCATCAGTTACATCAGTTCCGGAGGTGGCTATGTTAAACATCACAACACACAGATGAGGCTTATTCAATGAGATGCAAACTGGAGAAAGTCTGTGGTCAAGCAGACTTGCTGTTGCTGGGACGTATGATGCAGCTGTTAGGTATGCATGAATCATGATGCAAAAGAGCATAAATTGCACATTGATTGAGTTATGCTAGCCCTTAACCTCTAAATTTTGATCCTCCCATCTACTCTGATATGGACAGCCTTCTACAAACATGATTGGGAAAATTATGTATACCTTGTTATTAACCAAAATACATATCTGAAAGGGATGTCCGAAGTTTTATTGAAGCAACGCGTTTGTCGAGGGTTGATTCTGCAAGTTCGAAGTTGTCAGGTTCAAAAACTTGGCGGGATTCGCTCGAACCTTAGCGCGGCCCGTCCTCTCGGTATTGTCTGGGCGAGGCGATGATTTGGATGGATGGAGTTGGAGGATAATGTCAAGAGTGAGCGATGCCATCTTCAATTCAACCAAGCAGACCATGTCACCATCAATTCTGGCTGAAGGCTTCAAGACATACTGGCACCATACTTTTAGTTCACCTCACAAGACCCAGCATTCTATCTCTTTCTCACCGCGAAGCTCTTCGTCTCGTTTTGACTTCACAACTTTAGAAGCCTCTTCAGTAGGAACTGTGCTGATAACTAATTTTCAGGTTCCATGAGCTAACGTCCAGTGTAGGCTCATATCTTAGATGGATTCCAGCGGAGCTTCTTTGCTCGAGAAGCTGAACTCGGACCAAATCTCTAATCTTGCTACTGACCTCCGCGACTACGTAGCGCCACTGCCCGATCTGTGTCAGCCGCTTGCTGCCACCGATACGCAGTTAAGGACGTTGACGAAGCGTTTCCTTCCGTTCCTCGTGCAGAGTACAAAGATCTCACTTGCTAAGCTGTTCAGTGCCGCAGCAAGTGCTAGCAGCAAGAATGACACACAGACTTCTCAAGGCGCGCCGCTTAATCCCGGCCTAAGACAGTTGCGCGAGCGTGTTTACGTATGGCTGGACATAGCACGAGTTTCGATACACGCGTTTCACATGCTCCGTAACGCGCTGACGAGCAGCACGCAATATCAGAACGAGCGCAACCGCAACGTCCTCGTCCACCGACTTCTGACTCTGAAGTTCCCGCAGGATGGAGCAGAGGAAGGTTGGACTCTCTTACAATCCGTGGCATGCATTCTTCAAGGAAACACTTCGTTCCGCTTGTCCCTTGGTGATCCACCGTCGTCTTACGGACAGCGGAAACCTCGCTGGACGACAGTCGATGACGTCAGCGTGCACGACAGTTACCCCATTCTCGCCTTGAGATCGCCGACCCAGGAAGACACGGATGAACTGAAGACTCTGGTCGTAGGCGCTTCCGTTAACTCTATATCTTGCATTGCAGATATTGTTACCGCTGGTGCTGCTGCCGTCTCTTCTGCCGCTGTAAATGCGGACTCGAAGGATGCGACGCGCCGCGCGACACTGTGGCTGAAACGTCTGCCAGATCTCGTGGCGAAGTTAACTCCATGGCTGCGGTGAGTCTAGCTCATGATTACAGTAGCAGGAGGTCAATTTCGGCAGGTCCGATGTTGATTTTTTATCTTGCTACGTATTGGCTTAGGACCGCAACATAGAAAACAATGAGACGCTTTAAGATTCGAGTTTTTTCGTGGTCAATTGCTCTCGACCTTTCGACCTGGGAACTCGTTACCTGATGTTCTCACCCTCGTGCGCTGTTGCCTCTCTATTGCCGTTCGCTCACCAATGTCGTCCATCTCTTCCTCTCCTCTTCTGTACTCCCCAGAGCGCTGGATGCGGATGCGCGTGCTCGAAACGGTCAGATCCTAGTGCGCGCCCTTTCGCAGCTTCTCACAGCGCTGCTTCCTCACGGGAAGGCCCTCGGAGTGGCGTCATCGCACGTCATGCAACTAGTGACGCTGCTGGTCCAGAGTGGGGTGGAGTGGTGTGACGCGCAGAGGCTGATAGCGGTAAGGCACCAGGAAGATGCGACTCTGTCTGCTGCAACCCATGCACCGTAGCGCGTCGTCTCACCTACTGATGCCCCAACAAGCTTAATCTCACTGACCTTGTGCATGGTTTCTGTTTCAATTTCCGTGTTTGTTTTCTCATCAATTTCCTTGTCTCGGCCAGTTCCTGATCAAGATTGCGGCTTCAGCGGTTGATAAGGGGCATGAGGCGATGGCCAGGGCCCTGTGGGAGCAAGCACTCACCACACTGATGCAGCCAGCTTCCAAGACCTTGAAGGTAACTAACACATGCACTGAGACCCTACTAGATTCTCAAGCTGCTCCAAGTTACTCCAAGCTGCTTCAACTTGTTGCGAGTCGTTTGCCGGGATCTTACTGTGCCTGGCCGGCTCTGTGCTCGCTCTGCGTGTTACAACAGCAATTCAAACCCCCCTCGTTCCCATGCTGTGTCACTGCATCTGGTGGTTGACTCGTTGACTCCTGCAGTCTGGCAATCCCCCCGTGTGCCCCTTGTTGGTGGCGCGAGCGTGCGTGGTGGCGAGCTATGCGTCGCATTCAGTGGACCATGGCGCATCGGGGCACGCGCATCAGTTTCTCCAGCAGCAGCTCTCGCCAGCCAAGGTAGCATGGCTTAAGCCGACACACTGCAGTATCACCTCCCCCTTTTTCTTGTCACTCTCTGCTCCCGAGCGCCTCGTCATCCATGTTCTCCCTATCTCTTGCTTCGCTGACTACCTTCCTTCCCGTGTGCAGCCTGGGAGTGCTGTGGCGAGCATCTGGGCTGCTGTGTGCGCCGCTCTGCACCTCGCTACCGCCTATTCCATCAAGCGAGACTCGTCCAGCAATGCCAAGCCACCCCAGGGCGGCAGCGATAAGGCCAAGGGACGAAGTGGAGAAAACACGGAGGAGCAGGCGGAGAAGATCGTGGGAGCAGTCCAAACGGCAGTGGCGGGAATTAAGGCGCAGCTGGCTAGGCTGGGGAAAACAGGGGATGCGGGGAAGCGAGAGTCGGAGGAGGGGAGTGAGAAGGAGCGGGCAGTGGCGTTGTGTCACGTGCTGGAGTGTGTGGAGTCAGTGGTGTCCGCGTTCGCCCAGCAGCAGTGGCAGGAGGAGATGGCACGGCGTGTGAAGGCAGGAACCGGTGGGGCGTGCAGCAGGAAAGGCTCCCAAGTGGAGCGGCTGTGGGCGTGCCTGCAAGACCTGCTGCTCTGTGTAGTGCCAGCTTCTGCCGCGTTCCACAGGTGAGCTGCAATGCTGGCCAACCTGCGCGGCAGATAGTCCATATTTGGTGTGTTGCATGTTGCTCGTCTCGACGTGTTACCATTTTTCGTTTATCTTTCGCTAGCCCTTTCGTCTTGCCCTTTTCATCCCTTATCTTGAGGTCTGCACTCTCATCCTGCGGTTTGTTGACTCGGACTCTATTCGTCTCTGATTGCCTCTCCCGTGTCTCCACCCAGGCTAGCTGGTTCAGACCCAGACTTGCAGTACCTGTGCCAGCTCCGCTCAGCTGCGTCCAGCTCCCTCGCTGCTTACCGCCTGGCCCTGCTCTCGCCCCCTGCGGAGAAGGTGAGGGCGATGACAGCATTTGGCTGAACTAGGGCATTATTCACCTTGTTTTGCAGGAACGCGCTATGTAGAGTTTGGCGATAATCACCATGTTCACCCTGTCTCGGACAATGCCCGCTTCGTTTCGTCTGGCTGAATTCCACGAGTTGCTTCGCCAAGATTCCTTAAATTCTTATTCCCTGGGCACTGCATGTACCTTGGCATGGCAGAGTGCAGCGGCACAGCAGCTGAAGAAGCTACTGGTGGAGGGGCAGAGCGGGGTGGTGGAGGAGAGGGACCGTGAGTGGATGCAGTGTGTGGTGTATAACATGGGCGTCAACTTCTATAACGCCAACCGCTACACTGAGGTACACACACGCTGGACATGCTGCATGCACATAATTTCGAGTCGACTTAAACGTCACATGGGTGTCCACTTCTATAACGCCAGCCGCTACACTGAGGTACACACACGCTGGACACACTGCACTCGCTCAGTCTGCTAGCTTGGGACCTTCTTCTTCCTGTCTGCTGCTGCAGGGTTCTTGTCTGTGTGTTGTGAGCTCTGCTATCAGTTTAGATGGACTACGCATGCACCTCACCCACTGGCTATGCATCCACCACCAACCGTCTTTTTTGCCTCTTCTTACCTTAGCTTTGTGCATGCACCTTCTCCAACGCGCCTTCCACTTGCCCCTCACGCATTTGCTTGCTCCCTTCCTGCAGGCGTTAGAGCCGCTTGCAATCATCTTCGCGGCTATCAAGGCGTCCCCGCTGAAGCCCAGGCCAGAGCAGCAGGAGGGGGAGAAGGAGAAGGAGAAGGTGCTGCAGCAGTGTGTGCGCTGCAACCTGCTCGCACTCTCCCTGAGGCGCACAGGGCAGCTGGAGCAGGCACAGCAGGTGCTGGAGGAGGGGCTCCAGCGGTGGGGGGGGGTGAGGGTGGGCAGGGAGGGCGAGCGGGAGGGCGAAGGGCAGCTGGAAGGGCCTGCCTTGCTGGCCCAGCAATGGGGAAAGGTAATACATGTGGCTTCTGTATCTTGGCATCTCAGTGATGGTTCTGTGGCGGGCCTGTGCCATTTAGAGAACCGTTGCAGGGCTGGCCTGTGGCATTGTCAGATTTACGCCAATTTCGGCTTTTCCAGAGCAAATATGTTCTTGGCTTCACCTGTCCTTTCGTCGGTGGGTGGCGTGTGCAGGTGCAAGCAGCGAGGATGGAGGCGGGAGAGGAGCACGTGCCCCTGCACGCCATTGAGGGCATAACCAGCGACCCTGCCGCCCTGGAAGGGCTCATGATGCAGGTAGTGAGGCGACCTGGTTGGAGATGCATTCCACAATGTCATGTGTTCAGAAGCAACCGTGTTTGTTTTGTGTCTTAGCATCGCTAACACTTTCACCGCCTCCAACCAATGCCATTGTGTGTACTACGTGGGCAGGAGCTGTCAGCATATGATGACTACGGGCAGCAGCAGCAGCAGCAGCAGCAGCAACGGTGCCTGGCAGCGCGCACTGACGTGCTACATCACCTCACCACGCACGTCCTTGCACACCGCCCTCACGGCGCCCTGCACCGCGCTGCTGCCTTCCTGGAGCACACCCGCTGCCTGCGCCTCCTCTCCTCTGTGCGCAACGCTGCTGCTTCTGCTGCGCCTGCTGCTGGCAGTGGAGCGGTGGAGGGGCAGGGAGGACTGGGGAAGGTTCGGGAGTCTGCAAGGGAGAGTCGAATCTGGGACGGGCTGAATGGTGCTGTTGACCTGATGGTGCGTGGTGTGGCTGGCCTTTGTGTGTTGTCAAGTTGGTTGCGTAGTGTGTGGAGGCGTCTCCCGGATGAATCCCAACGTTGCTATGGTAGAGTGATTGTCGTTGAATGCTTTAGCTAATTGACTACCGCTTACTGCCCTTGGTCTTACCAGATCCTTTCTTATCAAGCTCCCCCCCCCTCTACGCTTCCTCTCCCCCTTCCCCTCCCCCTTCCCCTCCCCCTTCCCCTCCCCTTCTTTTCCCTCCCCTTCTTTATGTGGCCACAGGAAGGCGAGCTTCAGGCGAGAACCAGCGCCCTTTGTGGCAACTCAAATGGAAAGGACCCCCTCACGTTGCTAAGCAACTGGATGCGGCTCAGGAAGAAGGAGCAGAAGGTTAGCACTGGCGGTATTGGATGCACAAGTACCGGGGCTGGTGGAGAGGGAGTGCGTGCGGTGGTGGAGGTGCTCCGATGCTCCGCCGCTGCTCTCAGCGTCAGGGGCATGTTCACGTACGAGATGCAGCCAAGCAACCAGGTATGGAAGTATGCACGGATGGTTTGATGGGTAGGGAGGAACTGGGACATTACACGCAGGCACTTTCTTTATACCATCGCAACCTGTCTTCCCCTGCCCTGGCCTTGTCTTTGCTTCCTGTGGGTCCTGTCATTCACGTTCACCTTGCGAGCATCTCTGAACTGCGAATCCTGTCTCATATGTTCTTACCAAGCAGGCGGCGTGGGAGGACCTAACAAGAGCATTGGACCTCTGGAGCATGGCAATACGCCTGTCTCCATTGCCGTGGCCAGCCTCCTTCCTCTCCCGAGCCTCCGAGTGCCAACTCCTTGCCTCCGTGATGGACCTTCTGTCCCTTCAGGTATTTCCCAAGCTCTCCCTTCCATCTCCTTCACTTAGCACGTATCATCACATCGTGTGATCACATAGAAAATGCTTTCTCACGAGCCATTCTCAGCAATTGCCTCATGTTTTACTTGAGCGTTCATTCCTCTGTGTGCCTTGTGCATGTTTCCCCATGCAATCCCCCCCTCCCTCATGCTGTCCCCTACTCTTTCCCTGATCCTGTCTGCTCTTCCACGCCAGGCCTCATCACACCACCTCATGGCTCGCCACCTAGCCCTGCGCCTCGCATGCTCCAGATGCCCTGCATCTGCCTCTGCCTCGGCGGAACCTGGGCAGCAGCAGGAGAATGCAGAGTGGGAAGACAGAGCAGAGGTGTACTATAGGCTATTCGGCAATGCTCGGCCATCTCACATGCTCTGCGCGCTCGCTCTCCCTTCCGACCTGCCGGCGGGACCTGCCTTGCATGGGACAGCAAGGGGCAGTAGTGACAATCCGGGCTGCACAGGAAAGGGGTGTGGAAACAAGGGCACGGCGGAGGAGCCGTGGGGCCCAGGGAGTGGGGAATGGTCGCTTCTGAGAGCAGCAGTGGCGTTGCATGATGGGTGTAGTGAAGGGGAGCAAGTGGTGGAACAGCTGAGCAGCTTGCTGAAGAATCAAGGCGACGAGGTGCGGGTTGGAAGCGTGAACGCCCTGCTCTGGTGCTCTGGATTGGCGCCCCTTGCATGCTGCAATCGCCGTTCTGCTTCAATGTGCATGTTGGTTCAAAGTCAACATGGGGCTTCCAGAAGAGCAGCATTATCCTTCCATCTCGTGACCCGCATCCCCATGCATCCATTCATTTATCCCTCCCTCCCTCCCTCCCTCCCTCCCTCCCTCCCTCCCTCACTCAGACGGTGAAGACGGTGAAGGTTATTGCCTTTCAGAGCGGGCTGCACTTCTTGCTCGCACACCATCACATGGCACACGGCCTCGCCACCAAGGTGACTTGCTTGCTCCCCTCTCTGTGCATGCATCGCATAGTGCAGCACTGGAAACTTGTGCTTGGGGGGGCAGGGAATGGGGATGGGGATGGGTAGGGGGGCAGAAAGGGAGACATGGCAGGGGGCGAGGATCACTTTGGGAGGAAATGAGGGATATAGTGTGATGGTAATCAATGCGAAGGAAGGCACATCTTTTGAGTTGGCTCAAAATCCAACTCGAATGAGGGATAGAGTGTGATGGTCATTAATGCGGAGGAAAGCAGATCGACACATTCTGGCTAATGTCTTCAGACCCTCGAGCTCAATGCTCATGTCCTCCTACCTCTTGCTTCAACATCTCCGTTCATTTACCCTCCCCGTTTTCCCAGGCGTACCACCATGCTTCAGAGTCGTACAGGTGGCGCCTTGCAGCCTTCTCCCACGTATTCACCCCGGCCTCTCGTGAGGCTATCACTGCTGCCACTGACGCCGCCATGCCGGCCCACTCCGCTGCCACCTCCGCTGCTCCCGCTGCTTCCGCACCTGGAAACGCTGCCCCCGGCGCTGGCACTGGTGCCGGTGCCGGTACTGGTGCTGGTTCTACTGGCACCTTCCTGACTGCTGCCTCCTCAGACGCCTCCCTGATCACATATGTGACGGCTCACGAAGGCTCTTTTGCCAGCGCTGCCACCGCAACCACCACCACCACTACCGGCATGACTGCTGGAGGCGGCGTTGGAGAGGGCTGTGAGAAGCAGGAGGCGCAGGGGGGGAAGAAGCACGTGCCTGGGCTTCAGTGTGGGATGCGGGAGGGGGAGCACCTGGTGGCGACGCATGAGGCCATGAGGGACATGTGGCCTGCTGTGGTTGGCAGGCGGCAGGTGGACGTGGCAGGCAGTGGTGCTCCCAGTCCGTGGAGGCTCGTGGCTGATTATGTGGATAGCCTGCACCAGGTGAGGGTGGGAGAAGGGAGGAAAGTGGACTGCGTTTTTGCTTGTGTGATGGACTTGAGATACAGAGGGCAAGTGGTATTGTGGGCTTTTCTCCCATTACTTCTGCGTCACAGCTTGTCTTTTCTCTCTCAGTATTATCATGTTCCCCGTCGGATATCAACCCTCAATCGCTCACACGTGTCCATCCTGCTGTCTTTCTTTTCCTCCCCATGTCATTCAGCTGGGGAGTGTGTTCGAGCACCTGGGTATGACTGATGAGGCGGAACGGCGCTTCACAGAAGGCCTTCACATTGCCCGTGCTCTCGCTCTCCCACATGCCCAAGGCACTTTCTCCTCCTCTCTCGGTGGGTGCATGGAACCGGTATCAGCCTCTGCCCTCAATGCTTAATCTAGACAGCTATCGGTGAATCCTTGTAATAATTTCTGCTTCTCCTCTTATGTCATATTATCGTACCATCTTCGTTCCAATTACCTTGTTTCTCTTCACCCAGCGCTGCTACCTCCCTCCGTACATCTCCCTCCCTTCGCTTGAACCCTTTCAGGCCATCTCAACCGCAAGTGCAGGAACTGGCACAAGGCCGAGCAGCATCTCTCACATGCAGCTGCTCTGCTGCGTGCTGCTCCCACCCACCCCTCCCACGCACACCCACTTGCTGAGGCCACCTGCCGAGGCTGCGGTTCCATAGCTGAGTCGAACCTCCAGCAGAGACTTGGGGACCTGGCTAGGCGGAGAAATGATCTGGAAGGTTTGGGAGTGCAAGGGTTGAAGGGCAGGCGTGAGAATGCTCAGGAAGAGGAGGAAGAGGAGGTGAGCTCTGCATTAAAGCCATCAAGGAGGAGGGAGGGCGTGGGTGATAAGAGAGGGAAGAATGGTGGTGGTGACAGGGGAAGTGGTGACGGTTGGGAGGGAGCGGTTGAGCATTACAGCAGGGCCGAGAAGGCAGTGGGGCAGTTGGTGCCTTGGTATGGCGAGGTGCGGAGGGCGTTTGAAGGGCAAGTGGAGGGGTTGATGGGTGAGGGGTGGGAAGGCAGTGATTGGGTACAGGAGGAGGAGGACGAGGAGAGGGGTGGGTGCTTCGGTGGTCCAGGTGGGGATATGGGGGAGGCGCAAGAAGAGGAGAAGGGTGATGTGCTGCCGTGCAAGCTTCTGCAGAGATTTGAAGTGGAGGCACACGAGGCGGAGGGATGCTGTGGGGATGAGAGGCTGAAGGGTGGTGATGGAGGGAGTGTGGAGAAAGGCGGGGATGGTTATGATGCTGCAGGGGAGGAGGATGAGGAGAAGAGTGCAGGGAAGGGGAACGGAGGGAAGGGTAAGGCCACGGGTAAGGTCAAGGCCAAGGCTAAGGCTCCAGGGAGAAAGGCGTTGGGCGAGATAAAGATGAATGGGGTGAAAGCGGATGGGGCAAAGAAGTCGGGGCAGGACGTGGATGGAAGCAGTGGAACTCCGGGGTTGAAATTGCGGACGCCAGCTGTTGAGGAGGCACAAGTGGTTGCTGCTGCTGCTGAGGCTGTACAGACGAGACAAGGGAAGGCACCTGGAAAGGTGCGAGCAAGAGGGAAAGCAGGAGGAAGTGAGAGTGAGAGGGGACATGGGGAAGTCGAGGAGGGAAAAGGGAATGGCACACAGAGCAAAGCGGTGGGTATGGGAAGAAGAGGAAGCAGGGCAAGTGCGACAGGAGGGCGAGGACGCAGTAATGCACCTGTCAGAGGTGGGAATAAAGCAGCTGGTGTAGACAGGGAGGACGATGATGTTGTGGAGGTTATTGAATCAGACAGTGACGAGGATAGGAGCGCAGCAGAAGAGGATGCTGGGGCAAATCCAGCTCGCAGGAATTCAAGACAGGGGTTGAAGGCAGGTGCAGGGCGCAGGCAAACAAAGACTGCGGCTGATGGGAGTGAGGCTGAGGAGACGGGACTGAAGGCAGGTGGGCGAAGGCTAGGAGGGAGGGGCACACAGGACAAGAAAAGAACGTCAACTACGGGTGTAGGGGATGTGGATGGAAGTTCATTCTCCACTGTTTCTACAATTTCTGCCTTTTCTGCTGCTTCTACTGCTGCGACTCCTGCTCCAGCTGGTGGTCTGCGGAGGAAGGTCAAGTGTCCAGTGGAGGTGGTGTCACTGCTGACTGATAGTAGTTCCAGTGATGCAAGTGATGGTGACGCACAGAAGGGTGATAGTAACGAGGTGAGCAGTAAAAAGAGTACTGTGGTGCTAAGGACTGCCAAGAAAACGACTCAAAAGGCAGCAGCAGCAGCACGGGGTGTCAGGCGTAGAGTAGGAGATAAGGCAGAGAAGAAGCAGAAAGAAGAGGTGGAGGAAAAGGGGGAGGAGGAGGAGGAAGAGGAAGAGGATGACATGGCGGGTTTGTTTGGATCTTGCCAAAAGCGCGTTCTGAAACGATCTGTGCGCACGCCTGCAAGCAGGGCGAGGAGGCGACAAGTGGTGGAGGATGAGGAGGAGAGCAGTGACGGAGTGGAGGAGTTTTTCAGTCCCGTGGAGATAGCAAGAGGCGCTGATACCATGGCCAGACCGAAGGATGGGAGACAAGGAAGGGGGAAATTGTGGGTAGAAGGGGTGGACGTGGGATCGGAGTGGAGTTGGAGAGCTGAGGAATGGAGGGCAAAGGACGGGGCCATGTGCGAGGAAGAGTGGTGGAGTGTGGGAGGGGCAGGGTGGGAGTTGAAGAAGGAAGCAGCTGGTGCAGGGGAGACGCATGAATTGGTGACAGCAGCGTGGATGGCGGCTGCAGTGGAGGCACTGGTCACTTCACTGCTCTCACAAGGTGGGTGTTGTGTTGAGAAGGTGACAATGGGCAGGGGGAATCATGATTGGGACTCCTGATTTTGTGAAATGATGTATTTCTCAAGCCGCCACTCCTTTCTTGATTACAGTATTGTGGTCACTCTGTTGTGTGCTCCTCACGAACATCCTAATCTGATTTTTGCTTCACCTCCCTGTTCGTTTTCCACCTGAACCAACAGCGCGCTGCCACATGGAAGCTTGCAATTGGTCGGTGGCAGGCCACCTGCTGCGCAAAGCGCTGGCAGTGGTTGCAAGGAGCAGCAGCACCTCGCTGCACGCTCCCACAACCCTCCCCTCCCTCGCCTGCTGCTCACTCCCCTCCGCCACATCCCACTCTTCCTCCACCTGCCCCTGCGGAGAACCCTTCTCGGATAGACCAGCGTCAGCTGGAAAGATGGGGCATTCTCAGCGGCAAGTGCGGGAGGAGCAGGGGGAGTATGCGGAGCAAGGGTGGTTGCAGGATGTGCAGGTGTGCTGCCAGCAGCAGGCGAGCAGTCCTCTGGTTCGTGCTGCCCTGCTGCTGAACGTGGGGCGCCTGTCGCTGCTCCTGCTAAACAGGCAGCACCAGGGGGGGAATGAGGGAGTGGTGGGGAGGTGGGAGGGGCTGAATGTGGGTACAGTGACGCACTGGCTGCTGCATGCAGCTGCTCTCTCCTCCGAAGCTCCTCTGCTCTTCCGCGAGGTGATACTTCTCCCTTTAGTCAATCCCCTCTTCCATGTTGTTTCGCATACGACACCCGATGCTGACAATGGCAAAACATAATTGCTGATGTCCTTCTTTGACTCTCAATTGGCCCTGTTGCACTGTGCGCTTGCTCATTCAATTCCTTGTTATGCCTTTCGTGTCACATCTGGCCTTGCTGTATGCACCATGTCTCTTGGATCGCAATGCAGATGTTTACTCGGCCTCCTGTGCCTCCCAAACCGTTCTGCACCCCAACCCACAGGTCGCACACCTCATAGCCACCACATGCGCCACTCCCCTCACCGCCACCCAGCGCAACCATGACCCATCGCACCCCCTGTCGCTCTCCCATCACATTTCCCACCTCCGCGCCCTCTGCTCCTTACCATGCCACTCTGCTGCTTCTGCGGCTGCTGCTCGTGGGGGCGGTGGTGCTGCTGGTGCTGCTAGTGGTGCGTGTGTGTGTGACCCGGTGCTGCTAGGAGCGCTCTTCCACGCTGCTGCAGTGGGCGCCACAAGCCGCATGCAGCATGTGGCACAGCTCATGGCGCAGCAGGGCAGGCAGGGCGAGGGGAAGGTGGTTACGACCAGGGAGGCGGATGGACGGCTGGAGGACAGGCATGTGGTGCACGAGAGAATGCTGGATGCTCTCAGGTGCGGCTGCAAGAGGCGAGAGCTGCTGAGCACATTTTACATTGGAATGCTTGCCCTAACTTGCTGCTGGTTGGTTGCTGTAGTGCCTGCTCTGTCCAATTTTGACATGTCTTTTAAGCTCAAGACTCTGCATCTTTATGGTGCTGGTGGTGCACATCAGTGCTTAACACCCATTCCCCCCTCGTTCCCCCCATCCTCTTTCTCTCTCCCCTCCCACTCGCTGTGTGTCACAGGTTGCCCGTGTGCCCTCACCCTCGTCACCTCGCCTCCTCCCTCCGCGCCTTCCACCAGCACATCAGCCGCCTCCCCTCCTCGTTTCCTGTTATCCACCTGAGTGCTCTCGAGGGCGCCCCACACGCACACGGGGGTTTGGTGCCTGCGTTTCGAGGCCAGGCAGGGAGTACGAGCGTGGGGAGTGGCAGGGTGCGCAAGGAGGCGTCATGCTTGCTGCTCACTCGCGTTGCTGCTGGCGCTCCGCCTCTGGTGCTGCTTGTACCGTGCACTGCCGCTGCCGCCGCTTCTGCTGCTGCCGCTGCTGTTGGTGGTGGTGATGCCGCTTTCAGTGGAGGGGCCGTGACAGCAGGAGGAGCTGTGCAGGCTGGATTGGGAGGTGGGAACGCATGGGAGGATGCAGGAGAGGAAAGCTGCGTGGAGGAGGGTCAAGGGAGTGCTAACGGGCCAAGCAAGAAGGGAGGGCGAGGGCGAGGGAAAAGCAAGGCAGGGAGCAAGGAAGCAGCAACTGCAGGCAGAAGCAAAGAGGCAGGGAAGAAGGCTGCTGGGAAGGCCACTGCGAAGGCTGCTGCAGCAAAGGGGAAGGTAGGAAAGGGGAAGAAGGGAAAGCAGAAGGATGAGGTTTCATCTCCATCTTCCTCGCCCTACTCCTCGCCTGCTGCCTCGTCCTGTGAGTCTGAGTCTTCCTGTGTCCGCGACCGGCCTACCAGACACGACCCCACAGCACAGCACAGGGCAGCAGCTGCTTCTGCAGCAGTGGTAGCAGCAGCAGCGGCGGCGGCGGCGGTGGCTGGAAGGGTGACAGGTGGAGGGAGGGAAGGTGCAACACCAGCCACAGATGCAGGGGGGCAGCAGGGGAGGCAGAAGGTGCAGTGGATTGAGGGGCCAATGCAGCAGACGAGGAGGGAGTTTGAGGCGATTATGAAGGAGAGCAGTGCGTCTATGGCAGCGGGCGCGAGTGCAGCATCAAAGGAGAGCAAGGCAGCATGGTGGAAGTGGAGGCTCACGTTGGATGAGCGCCTGCAGGTTATGCTGAGAGGTATGGAGAGGCAGCTGCTGGGGCCGTGGGCGTTTCTGCTTCTAGGACAGCCCTGTGAAGGTGATGCTGTTGATGCTGCTGACGGTGGCTCAGTGGCTGGTGATCTTTTATTGGCAGCAGGAAGGGAGCTTGCCCAGGTTGCTGGCGTTGAGTCTGGTTCTGGTAGGGGTGGAGAGGGGTGGGGTGTGGTGGCAGGGTGCGAGAGGGCGAGAGAGGCAATACAGTGCAGCTGTGATGACCCCATGTGCTCGCTGGTCGCTGTGCAGCAGGCCCTGCAGATGCAGCGCGCGGCCTTCATCATTCACCTGCTGTTCCGTGCTGCCTCTGCTGCTGGGACAACTCAGAAAGCTCGTGTGACAGCTACTGCTGCTGCTACCTCATTGGCCGCATCCACTGCCTCTGATGCCCTTGCTGCTCTGTCCGTTGACTTGGAAGAGCTCGCTGCCACAGCTCACCAAGCACTCTCTGCATTGCCGCTGGTGGAAGCGGGAGGAGGGCACATGTGTGCGAGAGCAGCTGCGGCAGTGGAGGCACAGGGGGAGAAGATGAGGCAGATTGTTGACAGGGCTCTTCAGAGAGCAGCAGAGGCTGCTGCTGCAGGTGGAGGAAAGGGAGGGGGCGCTGGTGCTGGCGCTGCTGTGAGGCGTGGCAGCAATGGGAATGGGGGACGAGGGTCGAAGAAGGTGGAGGTGCAGTTGAAGGAGATGGGTGGAGGGAAGCGCAAGGTGCAGTGGCAACCGGTGCAGCTGATTCTTGATAGCGCCATACAGGTGCGTGAATGTGACTGAGACATGGACTCCTCTCTGCATGTCAATCCATTATGAAAAGAAAATAGTTAATTTCTTCAACTCTGCGAGAACCCATTTTAACCCATGTAAACCCTCCTGTTTTCCCCTTCACCTTTTTCCATTCCTCTCCAGGCACTGCCATGGGAAGGCCTGCCCTGTCTGGCCCAGCAGCGCATCTACCGCCTGCCTTCCTTCACTGCTCTGCTCTCCCTGCTCGCGCACCACCAGCATGCTGGTCTGCCTGGGAAGCACCAGCAGACGCAGCAGCAAGGAAGGATGAAAGGGGAGAGGAAGCAGGGTGGCGGGGTGGGTGGGAGTGGGAAGGCGGGGCAGGGAGCAGAGAGGCAGGTGCGGGTGAGAGTGGACGCGAGGAGTGCGTTTTACCTGCTGAACCCGTCTGGGGACCTCAAGTCCACTCAGGGCACGTTTGAGGCGTGGTTCAAGCAGCAGCGCACATGGAAGGTGAGCTGACATGCGTGCATGCATGCATGGATGTGGGGGGGTGTCTTTTGACATGCACGTGCCTCTGCATGCACATGCATGGTTCGTGCCCTGGGTGTGTTAATCTGCGTGCGTGCATGTGTGCGTACGGACGGAAAGCACGTGCTTGTGTGTGTGCAAGGTCACATGCTTGTCTTTCATCTCTGCTCCTCATCGTGGTTGCTTCTCCTCTACTGATATTCTCTATCCCCTCTCTTGTGTGCATGGCATGCAGGGCAAGGTGTGTGAGGCGCCATCAGAGGAGGAGTTCATGAAAGCATTGGAGCACTACAGCCTCTTTGTCTACTGCGGCCATGGCAGTGGTACCTCCTCCTCCCCATACTCCTCCTCGTCTTCCTTCCCCTCCCCATGCTACCAACACTCTATACCATTCATTGCACTATTATTGTGCCTTGCTGGGTTGTCGCTTTCCAAGTGCCTCTCCCTGGCGAGCTCCGTGGTTGGTCTCCTCCCAAACCTCCATTGCAAATGCACCCCTCCACACACTCTTAGCCCTTCCTCCCTCTCAATCCTCAGCCTCCCCCTCTCTCCTCTCCTCTCCTGAACGATCTTCCTTCCTCCTCCCCACCCGCTCCCCTTTCCCCACAACCAGGTGAGCAGTACCTGCATCGCTCATACCTCAAGAAGCTCTCTCGCTGTGCGCTCTCTCTCCTCATGGGCTGCAGCAGTGCTCGCCTCTCCCCCCGTGGGGACTACGAGCCCCTGGGCGTACCACTCAACTACCTGGCTGCTGGCTGCCCTGCCATTGTGGGTAACCTGTGGGACGTCACAGATGGGGACATTGACAGATACTCACAGCGGATTCTGGAAAGCTGGGTTGGGAAGGCTCGGGTGGTGGGGTGTGGGAGTGGGGTTGGGGAGAGGGAGAAGCGTGGGGGTGGTTCGTGTGAGTGTGAGAAAGTGGAGCTGTGTGAGGAAGGGGTGGGGGGCGGTGGGGAGAGGGGGGATTTGGTGTTGGTGCTTCCGGAGTGCAAGTGTGTGTGTGTGGGAGGGACTGTGGCGGAAGCGAGGAGTGTGTGCCGGCTGCGGCATTTGATTGGGCTGGCTCCTGTGTGCTATGGAGTGCCGTGCTCCCTGCAACCAGCAGAGCCCACATGAGGACGAGTGTTAGAATCAAGTGTCACCACTGCCAGCAGCCGTGTTTTACCGTAGTTTCTTGGAGTTTGTGTGCTGGTTGCACCACAATTATGTCGACGATTTGCATTGTACTGACAGACACTGTTTCAAACCTCCTACTGATTGACAGTTTGCCTCAGTGATGTCAATTGTAATCGCATCAAATGCAAGTGGATGATACCTCGTATCTGCAGAGGAGTTTGATACCTCATACGCCTGCCTTAAACTGTTATTACTATAATTAGAACGGGGTCACAGTAACAAGTAATGCTGGGCGGACAGCCCATGCCAGGTGCACATGTCTTGCAGCACTGAATCCAACCCCTTGGGGAGCAGAAGAGCCAGTTGCGTTGCATGCAAGTCAGATCAATCTACCGTAACTCGTGATCTTCAATCCAAGTGAGCAAGATGTGCAGCAAGGGCATCCACAACACCTGCAAAGCTGCTGAACTGCTGGCTCACCACGTCCACAGGCAACCCCACGTTGCGCACTCCCTCCGCTGTCACCGGCCCGTGCACTGCCACCACCACCCCCCGCCTGCTCACCCCACTGCCGTCTGCAGCATCAGCACCAGGAGGGGAATGAGGAGGTTGCGATTCGTGTCTGCCCAGGAAGCGCAGAGGGTGCACGCCCATGGCATGGCAGCAGGCCACAAAGCCCTGTGCCTCTGCTGTGCTGGAGAACACCACGGCAGCCACTGACGGGTGCATGCTCACCGCCCCTTCTGCTGCTCGTAACTCACCCAACTCACCTCCCTCTCCGTCCCCACTAGTATCTCCCCCGCCTTGCGAATTACTGGCACCAGCAAGAACGGGCATGAGTGCACGGGTGCCAGTCCAGCGGGTGACATAGCAGCCGATACGCAGCACTCGCCAGCCTCTTTCCTCCAAAGCACTCAGGAACGTGGGCACCACTGGGGGTTCTTCTAGCCCTTCCACCCACGGCACAGGGCATGCTACTATGCGCCCGTCCCCTGGACCCAGGGCGTCTGCTAGGGTCAATGGCGTGGCGACAGGTGGCAGGACGAGGCGTGTGGAGGGGTGGGAGACGATGGGGCCGAGAGAGGAGAGCAGCTCGGCGTCCCGGCCCAGAGCGCCGATGAGGAGAGGAGAGCATGGCGCGGTGCTGAGGGGTGTGGTGCTCTGCTGCTGATGTTCCTGCTCGTCCTGCCGCCTCTGTTCCTCCTCGCTTTGCTGCAGTCGCTGTTGCTGTTGTAGGGGTTGCTGGGGTTGGCTGGGAGCGACTGTTGCTCTCCATGCAGCTGGCAGCGCGTGCTGTGGCAGTCGCTGCACCGCATTCGCAAAGGCCGTGATGCCATTGCGCGATGTGAACGCTATGGCTGCCACATCCTGCACTCCCACACTCACTCCCTCACTCACTCCCTCACTCGCCCCGCCAGCGTCCTCGCTCTGCCGCCCGCCCGCAGCCCCCACTAGGAACTGTTCCACTGCTCGCCGGCACGCCTCATCGCCCACGTCTGTCGCCACCATGCTGCACGCCACTGCTTCCCCGCCTGCTTCCCGCACTGCCGCGCTCAGCGCCGCGTCGTACGGCGCAGGCGCGGTCACTAACACCACCCGCCCCGCTAGGAGCGGGGGAAGTACACGCACGGGGGGACGGGGGAAGCGGAACGACCTCCGCAGAAAAGCGGCTTCCGCCATCACGGCGGCCGGAAGCATGCAAGCAAGGCGCTGCGAGGCGGCAGGGTAGCAGCAGCAAAGCCGCGGGGTTTGCGCGAAGGGGAGAGACGGGAAGAATGGACGCGGAGAGAGGATTGTGGCGCGATGATATGCATGTAGCCATCAAGGCAATTCTGCTGGTTTTTTTGGGGGGGGGGGGGGGGGTGGGAGCACGAAAAGCTTCCCAAGTGAGATGTATTGTACGAAAGTCGTTGTGTCGCTCATACTCGTTATAATTTTCGCTCATATTGATTTGTATGATGTATATTTGTTTCTCGTTAGTGCAATACTCGTTAGGTGGGTCCATTGCACACGTAACAGCCACTTCAATATCGCTTTTATCATTGATGGCAAGACTAGGAGAACTACAAGCAAAGCCGAAGAGGGCAGTGGCCTGGCGGGCACCGCGTGGCATGGCGCAGCGAGTGAGGCGTGCCGAGGTTGCGACAAAGGCGCACGAGGCGGAACGAGAGGAGGATATTTCAACGACATCCGCCGATGTGCGTCACCATGCGACAGATTGTTCGCAGCTCGCGGAAAAAGCGAGAACCGATGCGGTTACCCTTCGCGACTCGGGCATGCAGGCATCGTCGTCCCAGTCGAACACAACCATCGCGAGTCATCGCTCGGGTGGTCGTCAGACGGACCAACGCGCTGCCGACGAATGGCTGCCTGCCTCGCCTCGTCACAGCAGCGCCGCGGTGTTGCGAAGGGGCAGCAAGGTTTCGTCTGACCGGCACCGCCGCGCAGCTCTCGACGACTTGGCGTTAACAGCGGTAAGCGGCGATCAGCGATGAGGGTTCCCACGCCGCTGGGAAACCTGTTTTGCGGAGCCGCATCAGGAACGTCGTGAATTCTCGGCGAATTTCCGTCCTCCTCGTTCGCCCAATTGCGAAACTCGACGGCGGACCGTTCCTCGCTTGGCCATCACACGGCGGTGTGAGTGGAGGGACGGGGGGTCGGGCCTCGGAGCGTTGAGGGAGAACGCACTCGTTACCCGTGCTGTCGTTTCGAGGCAGGAGCGCCTGAACTTTTCGAAAAAGCTGCGGACGGAAGGGCGGAGGAGAGGCGGCGGAAAGGGAGCTGTGGGGAATGGAGGACCCGCGGCGCGACGCGGTGGCGGTGATCGGCGCGCTGGTGACGCGACCGACGCTGCGGCGGCAGGCGGAGGTGATTCGGCGGTGCTTCTCCCCGCGCGTGCGCTTCACCCACTTCCTCGTAGACGTCGCCAGTGGCGCCGCCGACCTCACCTGCATCTACCAGGTGCGGTGGTATGGGGTGATGTGGGGTGAAGTGCGGTGCGGTGGGGTGGGTGTTGGGTGGGGTGACGTGGAGTGTGGTGAAGTGGGGTGAGGTGGGTGTTGTGACCGCCTGAACGCATCCACCAGGTGGGTTGTCCGCTACGCTCAGCAGGTGCAGCGCAGCGACCCAAGCCCCCGCGGCTCCTCGCCACGCCAGGTCCGTTGGGGGAGATAGGCGGAGACGAGGAGGGGGGGGGGGGGGGGGTGGACGAGAGGAGGGAAGGAGAGCAGTTAGGGGTTGCAGCTAGAGGAGAGAGAGGAGAGAGGGTAGAAGAGAGAGGAGAGAGGGGAAAGGAGAGAGGAGAGAGTGGAGAAGGGAGAGGAGAGACGGGGTCCTAGACGTGAGGATCTGAATTGTGACGTGCATCGGTGTGTGGCGATGTTTCAATCCATAGTGTCAACCACACCTACCACCGCAGCCGTACTCCATACCTCTGCCCACCCTCCTCTCCTTCCTCTCCACCCTCCTCTCTGCCCTCCTCTCGTTCCTCTCCGCCCTCCTCTCTGCCCTCTCGTCCCGCCCTTCCCCCAGATGGCGCACGTGGTGTTGCAGTACCAGGGGGTGCGAGTGCCCGCGTGCATGCTGTACTCCATACCCCTGCTTCCACTTCCTCTCCACTCTCCCCTCTGCCCTCCTCTCTGCCCTCTCATCTCCACCCCTCCCTCAGATGGCGCACGTGGTATTGCAGTACCAGGGGGTGCGAGTGCACCGCGTGCTGTACGACCCTGTGGAGGACGCACTCACTCTCTACGTCACAGTCTTCACACGCCCGCTCTTCAAGCTCGGCTGCCTCGCCCACTTTGACCTCTGTGTGCTGCTCGAGCTTGAGGACATCCCACTGGTAACGCCCACATCCCATCTTTCTGCGAACCCCCCCTCTCTGTTAGCCCCTCCCCCTGCAAGCCCCTCCCCCTGCAAGCCCCTCCCCCTGCAAGCCCCTCCCCCTGCAAGCCCCTCCCCCTGCAAGCCCCTCCCCCCTGCAAGCCCCTCCCCCTGCAAGCCCCTCCCCCTGCAAGCCCCTCCCCCTGCAAGCCCCTCCCCCTGCAAGCCCCTCCCCCTGCAAGCCCCTCCCCCTGCAAGCCCCTCCCCCTGCAAGCCCCTCCCCCTGCAAGCCCCTCCCCCTGCAAGCCCCTCCCCCCTGCAAGCCCCTCCCCCTGCAAGCCCCTCCCCCTGCAAGCCCCTCCCCCTGCAAGCCCCTCCCCCTGCAAGCCCCTCTCCATGGGAGCTTCCGTTGCAAGAACGAGGTGACTGGCGACGATCTTCTATCCTGCTGCAATGGCACGCTCTTTCACCCGTGTACCATCCCTATTATCCCATGGTTCATCGTGTCTCTCATGCCACCATTGATTACATCCTGCTCAATGTCCCATTCCCATCCCAATGCTTCCTTATACAAGCTCTCATACCCATCGCCGACCCTGTTTTCTCTACTTCCACCCTCAGCCTTTTCCTCCCGTTGTGTTTCCGCCCATCTTCTCCCTTCCCCTACTCCCCCAGGAAGACTATCCCTTGCACGGCCTCACACCTCTTCCCCTACCTCCTACCAAGGAAGGCAGAACATTGGAACCCTCTGCTGCCACACCATCTGCCATTCCTCCCACACCTGCCACTGCTGGCTCTGCCTCTGCATCAGAGGCGGGGGGGAGCAGTCAGTTTGCTGGGGAGGAGGGGCGTGGGGCAGCAAGGACAGCAGCAGCACTGCCAGCAGCAGTGCGGCCGCTGAAGCGAGTGAAGTTTCAGAGAGACTTCTTCCAGCGCAACCCAGTCATCTCGCACCTGCCGTTCATTGGAGACCTCTACAAGTGGGAATCTTCTTGGCCCAACTCTCATCCCACCTAATTCCCTGTTTTTCCTCACCTTAAAACCCTCGTGTGTTCATGATCCTTTATGACCCCCAAGTATGTGCTGTTTGTGCACCCTTCTGCACGACTTTCTTTTTGTAGTGGTTCCTATTCACCCGTGGTCTTCCATTAAATACTGCCCAATCCCCTCCTGTCCCCTCTACCAGCGCGCATCTGCCCCGTCTGCTAGTGGGGGAGGCACAGGCGCGTCTCTTTAGGGGGTTGCGCTTCCTGCTCTCCCCGCTGCTGCCCAGGGAGGACGCCCGGGGGTTACTGGGCAGGTGGGATGACGAGTGAAGAAGGGAGATCTCTTGCTGGTCATCTTGGATGGTGTGGGGAGTGACCGACCGGGGTTTTGTATATGAAATGGTTTGGAGTTTTTATCGCTACACACAAGCTGAGAAGCTCGTTAGGCAGTATGTGAAGTGACGTTTTGAACCAGCCGGAAGGGGAGGGGAAGGGAAGGGACACACAACACAACACTTGATCTTGGTGTATATCCATGCGGTGATGTGGCGGCGCGGCACCTTTGGTGGGTTTGAGTATGGGGCCCAGAATAGCTTTGGGCAAGCTGATCGATCAGCATAGGTACGTGCGTGTCGTTGGGTAAGGTATCAGCACACTAGTGGAGAAAAGGCTGGAAAATCAGTAGCTGGTTGTGGGTTTTGAGCGGAAAGACCAGGCAGGTACTGCGCTATTTGATTCTAGACTACCCTGACTGTCACTTGAGTGTACAGATGCAATGGAGCCAGCGCTCACTATCGAATCTTGCTGACATCTTGCGAGTGCTGACTTTGCACGAAAGCGCCGCGTTGGCGTCGCATGTGCGGAAGTGACCAGTACGATTGGAGGAAGCACATTTGTTGCACTGCGCGCGCTTCTGTGACCTGACAATAATCGAAGGCGAAACTCAAGCAGCACTCGCTAGCCAATCACAGAGCCTTATCAAAATGCAGCTGTGCCTTGTTGTGTTGGAAATTGATAGCGTCCAGCCAATGTACACTTTCGGTACCCACGTGCAAGTCACGCACTTTGAGCAGAGTGACCCCAGAAGAAGCCCGCCTGCGAGCATAAACTTGTGATGGAAGAGATGGTGGAACTTACGGCCAATATCATTGATACTCAAAGTATGCCAGAGAAAGTTTGCATCGGTACTCAACTCGATTTCTCAACGCTGATTGGTCGTCGCTTTTCAATCACACTTTTACGCTAATAACACTTCCGAAATGTGAGAAACGAAACGCAATCACTTAAGTTGACAATGAACAATTCTGTCGAAAAGTTACCCAAGAAATAAGAATTTTATCAAGCGCAAATTGCGTTAAAATGGACCACTAGAGAAAAGGATGCAGAATGGGATTAATTCATCGGAACGGGGTCGACGTCACCGTCAACCTTCCGTCCACCATGGACCTGCTGGCCTAGAACAGAAGAAGATCAAAACCACATCGAATGACATGTTATGTAACAGAGGCACCAACCTTAAACGTCATGCGACAAGGTGTTTAAGGTTGATGCCTTCTCGCATTCAGTTTATTTTTCAGTTTAAGGTTCAGTCATGCGTTTTAATATTTTTCCTGCTTTGTTGGGTACGTGCAGCTTGTCAGTAGATCTGCACTGTGGATGCCCGATCGATCCTGGAGAGGGTTACAGGCGCGTTTGCCTGGGGGGTTATGGGCGCACTGACCCGCTACTGAAACAAGCCCTTTTATCCCAATGGTCTAGTGGTTGGGATTCTGACACAGCTGAGGTGCTGGGGGCGATTTGTTTTTTAAATGTGCTTAAAAATATATGACACAGTAAATGTAGTTACTCTACCAGTAAAATGTCGGTTGATTACTTTTGCAAACCGCGCCTGGCATAATTTGAGTATCAGTGATATTGGCCGTGGAACTTATGCTGATATATCAACACAGTTCTCGGCTTTCCACTGACAGCTTAGATGAAATTCCACGCCAGCACGGCCCCTACTTTAGAGCCCAAGTTGGAAGTTTTGTCATACGAACTATGATCATGGCGCCGCCTCGCAGTTTTTTTCACAAGGGCGCAGACTGTCGTTGCTATCAGCCGCCGTCCGGTTTCCTTCTCACTCTGCTACCACTGCTCCTCGTCCTCTTCACACAGCATTTTGTCATTTCCACCGCGTCTCCTCACGTCGCGGCGGCGATTTCCGGCGACGAAAGCGACATGATGGCGCCGGCGGCGGCAGTGGGCGAGTGGAGCCACGCCGATGAGCAGCATTCCCGCGGCACGGGCGTCCTCGGCACCCCCGGCGCCTCTGCACGCCGCTTGCTCGACGGGCCGACCCTCGCTGATAGCCAGCGTAAGGCTGAGGCCGCTCCCATGCTGGAGGATTTAATCATTCAACCAGTAGGGCTTGCCTCAGCTCCGTTCTTTGCCGTCTCAAGGCATCTCCGTTTCCCCGATTTCCTCAGTGCCCCATTTGTAACGCCTGTGGGCTGTGTTAAAGCCGGCGGCCCAAATTGTTCATGCTTTTAAAAGTTGACCAGAGGGAGTTTTTCTGGTGTAGTAGGCTTTGGCGAGAGTTCGCAATTTCGTCTAGATTCGTTTTTTTCGCGAGACCCAGCCAACCCTCGGTTTTCCCCCTGGTGAGTGAATCTAGCCAACCCTCGGTTTTCCTCCTGGTGAGTGAATCTGTCTTCGAAAGTCCCAAATTCCAGGTGCGTGACTTTCAAAAGCTTGGACACTCAACTTCGTCAAGTTTTAAAAACTTGACCCTCGCGGTCCGCAATTTGGGGCGCGGGCTTTAAGGGCACTCCGCTGCGCCAAATAACGCCATTGTTTTGACCCTGTGGGTAGCGAGGTGTTATACCGGTGGCAGAGCCTAGGGTTCGAATCTCGGCTGGACCACACTCTCTGCCTTTGGGCGAGAACTGCAGAGATTTCTACTCTAACGGATGAACGAGCTCTACGGAATGCTTTCTGCGTAGACACGATATTGGTGGTTCACTAAGGAGACAGAAATTTGTCTAAGTCCTTGAAGGCATAGATTTGGCACACACAGAAAATTCACTAGAATAGATTGAAAATAGAATACAACAAGGGGTGAAATAGAAGCTACCCAACCAATGAACCATGCAGAAAACGTTCACCCAAGAACGTTTACATAACTACTTTTAGCTGCGCTTTGCCAACTCAGCGTCGGCAGGTGAAAATTACAACACGTGCTTAGTTGGTGATTTTTACCTACCTAAAAGTAGTTGTTTTAGCTGTTCAGGTTGTTTTAAACAACTTCTGTAACGCACGTTTTCGTAGTTACGAAAACGTGCGCCAGGTTCATTCTGTGCAGGTGGTTCAATTTCGCCCCAGATTGAACACCCCAGTTCCGCGCACTGTTCCCCGGGGTCAATTTCTCAATGTCCGCAATGTTCCGAAATTCCCACGCAAAAGTTCCGAAACGATCGCGTTTTCGCGTCGGAAGGGTTCGCCGGTCGAGATTGTGGTCCTCTGCAGAATTTCTTTTCTGCGGACGCGCCTTCTTCTGCAGCTCCGAAATCTCTGCAGATGCGCCCTCTTCTGCAGCACCACAAACTGCTCTGCAGATTCGTCATCCTCTGCAGCACCACGGTCTACTCTGCAGATTCGTCCTCCTCTGCAGAGCTCCACCTCGACCTAGGATGCAAAATTCGCTTCGGCGGATTTTCCTCCCTGCAGAGCGCGACGACCAGATCTGCAGGGTCAATGCCAACTCAACAAGAACTGTAGTGTGGTTGTAACCAGCTCGAACCCAGCGAACGATCCAGGGAGGTCCCTGCGGGGGCCGAATCTTAAGGGCCAACGGGGACGTTGGCCACCAGGGGGGGACGAGTGTAACGCCTATGGGCTGTGTTTAAAAGCTTGACGCGAGGGGGTTTTTCTGGTCTGGGGTTTGGCGAACGTTTTCGATTTCGGTCCTTTCGTTTTTTTCGCCAAACCCAGCCCGCCCTCGTATCTCGCCCTGGGGGTTGGTTCAGTCCCCGAAAGTCCCAAATTGCAGGCGCGCTTTTTTTCAAACCTTGCAAATACTAGTTCGTCAAGTTTTAAGAGCTTGACCCGCGCGGCCCGCAATTTGGGCCGCGGGCTTTAAGGGCACTCCGCTGCGCCAAATAACACCCTCGTTTTGACCCAGTGGGTAGCGAGGTGTTATACCATTTGCCTCAATACTGCATGTGCCGCATCTGCCCCCTTTGCCACTTACTATTGTAGATGTAAAGCCTGTGGGTTAGTGTTGAAGGGTGCAGTGATGCTCACCATCTCGGAAAAATGCAAAAGTTTTTGCCGTGAGTGACTAAATTGAGCATTGTGCTAAAGTTAGTGGTACAATAACCTGTGGAAGCCAATTCACTGTAAATTGTCAGAACATATCTATAGCTTATACTGCTGTGTAGGCTGTAGTGGGGTATCCCATAGGGGGTACAACCCAGTTAGGGTTTCATATTTGTACTGCTTTCATTCATAGTTCATTCATTCCTGTTTTCCTACTTTCACATGGTATAGAGCGGGTCCTACCTTAGGACCGTTGTCTGGGCCCACCGACGCGCGCCCCGAGGCGCGCCCTTTTTTTTTTTTAGCGACCCCTCGGGTCGCCTTTTCACTCGCGGCCCCGCCGCCTCCTCTGACGCGGCTTTGCCGCCTCCCCTGACGTGGCCCCGCCGCCTCCTTTAACGCGGCCCCGCCGCCTCCCTTGACGCGGCCCCGCCGCCTCCCTTGACGCGGCCTCGCCGCTTCCCCTGACGCGGCCCCGCCGCCTCCCCTGACGCGGCCCTGCCGCCTCCCTTGACGCGGCCCCGCCGCCTCCCTTGACGCGGCCCCGCCGCCTCCCCTGACGCGGCCCCGCCGCCTCCCCTGCCGAGGCCCCGCCGCCTCCCCTGACGCGACTCCGCCGCCTCCCCTGACGCGGCCCCGCCGCCTCCATTGACGCGGCCCCGCCGCCTCCCCTGACGCGGCCAAGCCGCCTCTTCTGACGCGGCTCCGCCTCTACTGCCGACGGCCCCGCCGCTGCACTCTACGGCCCGCCGCTGCACCCTGCCGGCCCGTCGCTGCTCCTGCCGGCCCGCCGCTGCACCCTGCCGGCCCGCCGCTGCTCCTGCCGGCTCGCCGCTGCACCTACCGGCCCGCCGCTGCACCCATCGGCCCGCCGCCTCTTACGGCCCGCCACTTGCACCTGCCGGCCCGCCGCTGCACCTGCCGGCCCGACGCTGCACCTGCCGGCCCGACGCTGCATCTCCCGGCCGAGCCGCCCCAACAGCCGAGCCGCCCGGGACCCGAGCCGCCCTGCCGCCGAGCCGCCCGGGAGC